GAAAATGTTAGAGGTATGGAAAATGTTTAGGGTAGCTGAGACTATGGAATGGGAGGAATGTGTAGTGTAGGGTGTGGTAGACTGTATTACTATTTGCAAATACTTGCTGCCCCTCCCCACAGACAACAGGCTTGGCCACGTGAACTGCTTGCAGCAGAAGCTTTAAAGCACCATGTTCTACTCTCTCTGCTGTGACAATCAGCAATGTTTCAGAAAAGGTCCCAGAGCAAAGATGATGTATGTGAAGCAGAGACATGCCCATAATGGGCATGCAGCAGGAGTGAGGAATAATTCTGTGGTTGTCATTGGGTAAGATTTTTGCATCGCTACCATAGCATAACCTGGCGTATACAAACACGTGCATTTCCAGCTCTTAACTTCCAAGCATAGGGTAGGATTGCACTTTCCTGAACCTTTTAAGTAAGACCAAGTCACATGACTAGTTTTTAATCAACACTATATAAACACAAGTAACATATGTCATTTCTTGGAGGCAACTTTTAAAGCCAATACAAATTCACCTTGCTTTCATTTTCCTGTTAAGGTGATTGGGTGATTGTAGATGCTCACATCTACATGTAGATGTTTCAAGATGAAAACTTCAGACTCTCTGAGTGAGTATATTGAGAAAAGCCCCTCTGAGCTTGAACAAGTAGTATGAGCAAGAAATAAAATTGTTTTGTTAAGCCACTGAGATATTAGGGTTATTATCGTGGCAAATCTAGCCTATCCTGACAGACATAAAAACTGGCACCTAGACACAGGGTAATGTAATAACAACAATAATTGAAGTGTTTAGAGGGCAGTAATTAAGAACTCTGTTATCAGAAGGTAAAAGGATGGTGATCTATTTGGTGAACTGTGATAATCTAGAAGGCATATCCTGAACCTAATGAACTAAAGCAAGAGGTTGTAAAACAACATGTTAGTAGCATGTGTTGGTGGCTGTTGGATGCACTTAGAAACATTACAAAAAAGGTGAGCTCAGAGAAGATTTGGCCAGCTCGTAAGCAGGAATAAGAGTGCGGACAAACTATAAATTCAGAGATATGAAGGGTTAGAGGAAGCTATTGTTTCTCCATCTCAACTAGTAAAATATAAAACTAAGGAAGATTTTCAGCAAGAAAAGGCCAATGAAAAACAGCCCTTGAAGTATGGCTAAAGTCAAAGGTATGACCTCAAACCTATTGTTAAAACTTCTGGATAAATTAAGATGTTACTCAGCATATCTTTCACTTACAGAAAGGGGCTCTGGAAAAGGAAGGAAAAGTAAGACTCTCCCACCTAAGCCCAATAAGCCCAAAGCACTCAAAACCAAGTCAGGAGAAAGAGACAGAAAGACAGAGAAAGAATATGAGAAATGAGATGAATGAGATAGATATTAGCAGCCACAACAGCAAGAAAGCAAAGAAACATGGAAACCATGGGTGCTTGTGTAGAAAAGAACTGGCTGCAGCTACTGGCACATAGAAAGCCTGGAATCAGATAGATAAGAAACGTACACTTTGGGGAGGGCTCCACTGCCAAAAGAACATCAGCCTGGATTAAAGGAGACTGTATTCCCCCACGTCTATCCCTATTTTTAAAAGCTGATTTTAAAACCTATTCCCTATGCCTGCTTTATATGTAGAGAAGGAAGAGTCTCTCAGAGTACAAGGCCAGGGGTCACGGAAAACAATGGCCAAGGCTGCTACACTTAAGGAGCAGAATCCTGGTCTATTCAGGGTGTTGGGTAAGGTGTAGGATGAGCAACATGTGTGCTCTGTGGATTAATGTCCACAGTGGTGTCCCCTTCCTTCACTTTGGTGTATCCATTGCAGTTATCCTGTCTGTCCCAGTTATACCCTGAAGGTGTGCTGGGCAGACATCTTGCCTTTGGATGAAGAGACACATCTGGAGCCAATATAGAGTCTACTACGCATCACCCACTACCTGGAAAGTGAGCTCGATGTACTGTGACTAGATAGGTCTTGAGGAGAATGTGAGGGAATTCTGCCTGAAGGAGGACAGTAAGCCAAACATTTGGTGAACAGAAAGGGCGACTGTTCGAGTCATTAGTGTTGTTCCCCAAATATTCCTGGCTCTCTTCCTTCAAGACACTTGGCAGGATTACAGAGCTTTAAAGTCAGGCAAGGCCACGTGACTGGCTCTGGCCAAGGATGCGTGAGCAGGAGTGCAGCGTGTCACTTCCAGGTGGATGCTCTGAGAGCAGTGAATGATCTGCTGCCTCCCCTCCACCCAGCCCAGACAGTAATGAGATGTATGCATCAAGATGACGCCTTCTTCAGCCCAAGTCCATGGTGAATGGAACTCCCCTGCAGACTCACAGTGGGAACGTGGCATGAGAAGAAACTAACTTGCTGGGGCAAGCCACTGAGATGGTAGGGTTGTTCGTTGAGGCAGCAGAGCCCAGGCTTTCCTGATCCTTGGAGTGAGGGCTGGGACTGGAGAGCAGGAGCTAGGCTGTGAAAGGCCCCCCTCCTACACAAAGGCATCTGAACCCTCTCCTGGTTGTGAGGGGAAGCCAGTGAAGGCTTCCAAGCAAGGGCGTTAACATGAAAAGATCTGTTATTTTTTGGATGAAATATGCTATTTCTCAACATAAGGAGAAAATCAGCCTACAAACCACATAAGGCAGAGAGAAACACACAGAACCCTTAGGCAAAAGATATATATTTATATAACGTCCTAAGTTTTGAAATTTCTAAATACAGGAGCTCTGAAAGGAGGCTTTGAAAGGAGCTACAGAGAACTGGGCAAGACAATTTCTTCCATCTCACTATCTAAACACTGTTTCCTCTGCAGACAATCAATACTTTACAAGAAAGTCTCCCATAGCAAAGAAGATATAAAAAGGGAATATAACAAACACCTGAAGTCAATTTCCAGCTGACTGTGTAACCTGATCAGGATACTTAAAGTCTCTGGGCCTAGTTCCTCATATATTAAATCTGGATAATAATATATGTAGCTCAAGATAGTTGTGGGGGAGAAACAACATATATAAATTGCTCTGGTGAAGGCCTGGCTGATAGTAGGTGTTTATTACATGACATCCATTTTTGTTACTGTTATCATTAAAATTATTTTTTAAAAAAACAGCATCTCCCTAATTACAAAAGAAAATGATTCAGGGCAACAATGTAGAGGAAAATGTTCCTTCCTGGAGAAAAGTAACTGGATCTTGTCATCACTGTATTCCCCACCCCCACCGCACTGCCTGGCTCACAGTAGCCACTGTTTTCCCTGCTGCATGAGGGAATGAGAGACAAGTAAAGGAAGTAAAGGAAAGCTGTCAAGATGTCCCTGACACCAGCTGCTCCTGGGCTGCTGAATCTCAACTCTCAAAGCCACAAATACCTTAAAGCTGCGGGCTATGAACCCAAGGCTAAAGTCCCCCAATCTCAGAAACTGAAAAGCCAGAATTAGGACCTAGGGACATAAACTGCTGCAGGTCCAACGTCAAACCAGGGTCCTGGAGAAAACCCTGGAAGGAGCTGAGTTCTGACCCTTTCCTCCCTCACCCTCCTCACAGGTTAAATTCACCTGTTCCTGCCAAGTCACACTCTTATATCCTGCCATTCCATGGACGCTCTGGGAAGCTCCGACGAAGGGAAGGGAAAGGGGCTGTTGGTGACCACTACCTAGCCCTGGAGGCGATGAGTCTACACTAACCCAGGCCTGTGAGGTGGGTCTCACCAGCCCCACTTGCAGATGAAGGAACTCAGGGAAGTTCTCTGATTAGCTCCCTGCACACCGCGGCAGCGCTGGCCAGGAGAGAACCCACGATTCCAGACTTAGGTATTCTTTCCACCCGTACACTTTCGTCCCTAAGGGGTGCGGAGTTGGGGAAGGAGAAAATAACAACCACTAAAAAGGAACCACTTACATGGGTCTAGCGCTTCCTAGAGGCTACACAGGATATGGGCCCACCACCCGGCCGGGAGCGGAAAAATTTTAAATCTTCATTCTACTCACTCGCTGCGTGACTTTTGGCAAGTGTCTGCTGCTCTCGGACTTGTTTTCCCGGAAGCAAATCGGGGCGGGAGAAGTGGCGTGTGCGTGTGTTTTTGTGTACGTGTGATGTGCGGGGTGTCTATGCATGTTGTGCGGGGGCGGGGAGTAGACGATCACCGGGGTTCCCCGAGTTTCGGATTCCCTAAACGCTCGTTCACAACTAGACGCCGAGTTGCCCCCTAAATCCATCCACCTCCAGTAAGAAACCTCTCCGAAGCAAAGACTCGAACGCCCGCACCCTTTCTCCCACGGTCGGGAGGGTGAGTTGGGGGTCCAGAGGTTTCAAGCAATGCAAATCACTGGGCTTCCAGACAGAGCCAGACAGTCGCTATTGAACTTGACCAGGAGACAAACTTCAGAGCATTCTCAACGTGGGGGGCCGGACTCTCACGAACTGCCCCCAGATTTAAAAGCCACTTTCACTCGCCCCCACAGGGGACTTAACAGAGCCACCTTAAGGGCGGTGCTCCCGCCCCCCGGAAGTGCGGGGGGGCCAGGGGCCCGGGTGCTCTACCGGCCCGGCCCGCCCCGCCCCGCGCGGCGGCGAAGTGCCCGCGGGTGACATCCAGCCCCCAAGTGGGGAAATACCACCCGCCCCGCGCCCTCGGCTCCAGGCACCTGGCTCGGTTCACCCGGCCTCCTGGGTCCTAGCATCCCTGGCATTCCCGTCCGAGCCCTAAACTTCAGCCCACTTCCCTCAGAGGCTGGGAGCGCCCGAGTCCGCCCGGCTCGCGGCAGCCACCGTCACTAGACAGTCAAACCCCAAGACGTCAGCCCACAATGCACCGGGCGGGCCGGGAAAGACGCGCCGGGGAGGGAGGGGGAAGAGAGGGGCGCGAGTCGCGCGGAGGGGGGTGGGGGGGGAAGGAGGAGAAAGAAGGGCCCAACTGTAGGAGGGCAACGGAGCATTACCTCATCCCGTGAGCCTCCGCGGGCCCAGAGAAGAATCTTCTAGGGTGGGGTCTCCATGGCGACGGGTGGGCCCGCCCCCCTGAGGGCGACGCGAGCCAATGGGAAGGCCTTGGGGTGACATCATGGGCTATTTTTAGGGGTTGACTGGTAGCAGATAAGTGTTGAGCTCCGGCTGGATAAGGGCTCAGAGTTGCACTGAGTGTGGCTGAAGCTGCGAGGCGGGAGTGGAGGTGCGCGGACGCAGGCAGGCAGACAGGCACAGTCAGTCGGGAAGGACTGCAAATCCTTTTTTCCAATTTCTCTCCAACTGCCCGGAGCTAACGCTTGTGGCTCCCGGCCTGGTGTTTTGAGGAGCCCCGGAGAGCCCCTTCTCCAGCCGCCCCCAGGCGGAGAGCCCCTCTGCGCGGGCGCTGCTGACAGCGCGGAGAGCGGCCACTGTCCGCCCGGGGAAGTCCGGAGAGCGGCTGCAGCGGCAAGAACTTTCCCGGCCAGGAAGACAGGGGACAAGTGGCCGCCGGGTCCCGGAACGAACTTTTGCAAACCTTGCCTCCGCCCGAAGCTGCCGCGGCGGCGGTGAAGAAAAGGAGGCGGCGGAGAGAGGAGGACGTGCGCTCCGCTTCGCTCGCACCGGTTGCTGAACTTGGGCGAGCGCTAGCCGCGGCTGCCGGGCGCCCCCTCCCCCTCGCAGCGGAGGAGGGGACAGTCTTCCGAGTCGGGGCGGTGGACACCCGCCGCCGGCCGGCCACCGCGGGATCCGCGCTCCCTGCTACCACCGGGAAGCGAGTTCGTCCGCGGGCTCTGAGGAACCGCTGCGCTCCAGAGAGCTCCGTGAGTGACCGCGACTTTTCAAAGCCGGGCGGCGCGCGCGAGCGGACAATTAAGAGCGCGGGTGGCGTGTTAACCCTGCGATCCCCCGGACCGAGCTGGTGAGGAGGGCGCCGGGGGGGCTGCCAGCCGGCGGGGGCGCGCGCTCTTCCAGAAACTTTCCTTGCTTACCGTCCGAGGAGGCGCGGGTGTCCCCCGCTTGCCAGCGCGCTGTTGCGACCCCGAAACTTCTGCGCGCAGCCTCAACTAAGCCCACGCGAAGTGACGGACTGTTCTATGACTGCAAAGATGGAAACGACCTTCTACGACGATGCCCTCAACGCCTCGTTCCTCCAGTCTGAGAGCGGCGCCTACGGCTACAGTAACCCCAAGATTCTGAAGCAGAGCATGACCCTGAATCTGGCCGACCCGGTGGGCAGCCTGAAGCCGCACCTCCGGGCCAAGAACTCCGACCTCCTCACCTCGCCCGACGTGGGGCTTCTCAAGCTGGCGTCGCCCGAGCTGGAGCGCCTGATCATACAGTCCAGCAACGGGCATATCACCACCACGCCGACCCCCACCCAGTTCCTGTGCCCCAAGAACGTGACGGACGAGCAGGAGGGATTCGCCGAGGGCTTCGTGCGCGCCCTGGCCGAACTGCACAGCCAGAACACGCTGCCCAGCGTCACGTCGGCGGCGCAGCCGGTCAGCGGGGCGGGCCTGGTGGCCCCGGCGGTGGCCTCGGTGGCGGGTGGCAGCGGCAGCGGCGGCTTCAGCGCCAGCCTGCACAGCGAGCCGCCCGTCTACGCCAACCTCAGCAACTTCAACCCCGGCGCGCTGAGCAGCGGCGGCGGGGCGCCCTCCTACGGCGCGGCCGGCCTGGCCTTTCCCGCGCAGCCCCAGCAGCAGCAGCAGCAACCGCCGCAGCCGCCGCACCACCTGCCCCAGCAGATCCCGGTGCAGCACCCGCGGCTTCAGGCCCTGAAGGAGGAGCCGCAGACGGTGCCCGAGATGCCCGGGGAAACGCCGCCCCTATCCCCCATCGACATGGAGTCCCAGGAGCGGATCAAGGCGGAGAGGAAGCGCATGAGGAACCGCATCGCTGCCTCCAAGTGCCGGAAAAGGAAGCTGGAGAGGATCGCGCGGCTGGAGGAAAAAGTGAAAACCTTGAAAGCGCAGAACTCGGAGCTGGCGTCCACGGCCAATATGCTCAGGGAACAGGTGGCCCAGCTTAAACAGAAAGTCATGAACCACGTTAACAGCGGGTGCCAACTCATGCTAACGCAGCAGTTGCAAACATTTTGAGGCGAGACTGTCGGGGGCTGAGGGGCAACGGAGAAAAAATATAAATAACACAGAGAGACAGATTTGAGAACTTGACAAGTTGCGAGAGAGAAACAGAGGGAAAAAAAGTGTCCGAGGACTAAAGCCAAGGGTATCGAAGTTGGACTGGGTTGCGTCCTGACGGCGCCCCCAGTGTGCACGAGTGGGAAGGACTTGGCGCGCCCTCCCTTGGCAAGGAGCCAGGGAGCGGCCGCTCGCGGGGTGCCCCGCTTTGCGGAGGGGCTGTCCCCGCGCAGACAGAACGTTAGACTTTTCTTTAACATTGACCAAGAACTGCATGGACCTAACATTCGATCTCATTCAGTATTAAAGGGGTGGGGTGGGGGAGGGGGTTGCAAACTGCAATAGAGACTGTAGATCGCTTCTGTAGTACTCCTTAAGAACACAAAGGGGGTGGGGGAGGGGAGGCGGGAGGGAGGTTTGTGAGAGCGAGGCCCAGCCTGCAGATGAGCTCTTTCTGGCCTGCCTTCCGTAACTGTGTATGTACATATATATATTTTTTAATTTGATGAAAGCTGATTACTGTCAATAAACAGCTTCATGCCTTTGTAAGTTATTTCATGTTTGTTTGTTTGGGTGTCCTGCCCAGCCTTGTTTGTAAATAAGAGATTTGGAGCACTCTGAGTTTACCATTTGTAATAAAGTATATAATTTTTTTATGTTTTGTTTCTGAAAATTCCAGAAAGGATATTTAAGAAAATACAATAAAATATTGAAAAAGTTACCCCTCCCCCAACCTCTTTTCTGCATTATCTGTAGATTACTTGTCTAGGTGGAGTTGAAAGAGTTGAGTGTCAATTAAAATCACTGCGGGTGCTTCTTACTAGCAGGCCCTGAAAACTGTTGTCTGCTGGACTTGAGAAAGAACTGCAGCTGATGCTCTCATCAAGTTATACTTTTCCCTCCCCAACAATCTACATAGAGCTGCTTACAAAGAATAGTGTGGCATTTCAGGAAGATGAGAGAAGGGAGGTTGTGGTGGAGAGGGACAGCCCACTGGGAAATCTAGCATTTTAGTTTGGATTATATCAAGTGGCATGTGCTGTGACCATTTATTATGTTAGTAGAAATTTAAACATTAGATGCTTATTCTCAAAGCAGGAACAGTGGCAGATTTTTACAAAAGCTGTATCCTTCCAATTTGGAATCTTTAACAATTCCTAGATAAAAGAGATGGTCTTTGCTTATGAATATTTATAACAGCATTCTTGTCACAATAAATGTATTCAAATACCAATAACATCTTGATTTCCTTTCCCTTTTCTACTTTTTTTCTTCCCAAGCTCTATTCTGAAGCTTTTCAGTTGCTGGGGTTAACATTATTGCCATCTGAAGTTATTTGGTAATTAAGAAGCAAAGAATTTAGGAAAAGTCAACACAGAAGTTGCAGTCTGGATGAAATGTTCTCCCTGCTTCATTCTCTTTCTCTCTCTCCCCCTACTTCTTTCCACTCCCTCCCTCCCTGAAATAAACACCTGTGCCTAGACAAATTACCAGTATAGCAATTTACTGTTTCAAATTCTAAAGTTTCTTCATTTGTCTCTCAAATAACCTTGCTTAAATTATTATAGACTCTCAAAAGGTGGTAATCTAGATACTATAAAAATTCACAAGAGAAAAAACATGAACATAAATGCAGTGATGGCTTATGTATTAATAAACCTTCACTGGGGAAATGGCAAACTTAAATTCCGTCTGCAGATAAAACTTAGGAGATCAATAAGGCAGAACTCAACAAGGGAACAAATTTTGCTTGGTTGCTTTTAATCCCAAGAGCCAGTGTGATTTTCAAGCAGCAAAAGCAATTTGATATCCAGGAATATTTCACAAACCACTAATTGAGGCAGGCCATTTGCTCATTAGCAGTGCTCTAGTACCCAACAGGTCTGAGAGTGCTAATATCCTGCCTGTGGCTGTAAATCCAAAGACACAAAGAGGTTTTCCTTGGGAGGATATCTAGGAGTGGAAGGGATTGGACTGAGTTGTTACCTATCAGATACTCCATTGTAATAATACTCCTTTAACAAAGGATTACTGGGAGCAGAGACGAGTTTGCCAAACAGTGAATTTGCTGATGTCAGCAACCCGGAAGGTGAGTTTATTTTGACCATATGTAGGAATAGTGAGCAGAGGGACAATAAAGCACTCTGGGGTGGGGCTCTGTGGAAGCTAAACAAGAGCCAACTAGAAAAAATAAGCAGGCTGGGGAATTAATTACCTGCAAAGGTAGACTAAGCCCAGACAACAGAGCAGCACAGAAAAGCCACACCACTCCCCAGTTTGCTTTAGACTCTGACATTAAAAAAAAAAAAAGCCTGAAACTCATACCTATCGCTACCCTTGTTTGTTTCAATTATGGCTTTGAATGTATATCCCTGAAACTCTAACAAAAGAGACAGAAAAAAATAATTGTGGTAGAGGAAATTCACCAATGATCTCCTGTAAACCTTGGAGACAGAAAATCAGATACTTGCAGATACTCAAAAGTCAATGTTAAAAAAAAAGTCAGCGTTATTTTGACACTCAATGAGTTATTGTTTGGGTAACACTAACAGTTGGAGAAGATGAAACCAGTGGTACATGAAACCATGAATCCTCTTTTACTTTGTTTTCCCTATGTGTATTTCAGAAATTCTTAACTCTTTGTGTCCACTGGGGGAGAGGGCTCATGAACTCGGTGAAAATGCCTACAAATTGTGTTTGTTTATGGGTGTGTACATGTGTACACACACACACACACATACTCCCCTAGGGGGAGAGATCATTAGCTCTGTTTAGTTCTCAAAAATTTCCATGACTCAAAAAAGGTTAATTTATAAGCTGAATGTTTATACATTCACTATGAAAAACGTATCTGTGTGTGAATTTGAATTTCGTGCATTTCACTTCTTCATGCTTCTTGTACACATTTCTCTGCCTGGAATACTTTCCCTTCTGGCTCAACTGCTGAATCCTACCCATTTTTCAAGGTTTAGCAAAAGTGGCACCTTCTCTGTGATGCCTTTCCTGCTAACTCCCTCTTCAGGTGGAATGAATATTCTCCATTGAGCATCCCTAACATTTTATCAAAACTTCTGATAGCACTTATCAAAGGAGTATCATTGTGAACCTCTATGTGTCGTGGTCAGCACCTACTCTATTCATCTGTGGACCCCAGACTCCTAGTACAGTTCCTGGTTGCATAGATGTTCATAAAATAAATGTGTATTAACAGGATAGACAATTGAACTTAAATGCTCCAAAATAATTCTAGGTTAATTTCTTGTAGTGCAATATGCTTCATCCATTTCCAAGTGTACAACTCCAAATGGATCGAAGACCCTCAGAGAAGTCAAGTCTGAACAATCTCCAGGTACTAAAGCCTAGTTCTCAATGAGTGCTCTTAAGAAAATTAAACTGTTAGCACCTTCATTCTTCCTGGCTTCCCTAGTAATTCAGTGGTAAAGAATCTACCTGCCAGTGCAGGAGATGCAAGTTTGTTCCCTGGGTTGGAAAGATCCTCTGGAAAAGGAAATGGCAACCCACTCTGGTAATCTTGCCTGGGAAATTTGGACAGAGAAGCCTGGCAGGCTACAGTCCATGGGGTCACAAAGAGTCAGACACAACTAAGCAACTAAACAACATTCATTCTTCCCCAGCCACACAGTGTCCCTTCCCTCCTCTGCTAATGCAAGTGGGCATTTTCTTAAATCAAATGGGCCTATTTGAAAAATTAGGCTTGGAGGTGGAGATGGGGAAGGATAAAATGTGATCATTAGGCAGGCACAAAAAATAGTTCTAGATGTAGCTTTATTAAAACCAACTATTGGTAATGACTGAAAGAAATTTCTGTTTGCAAAGCTAATATATTTCAGGGGTCCAAAAGTTAGTATTCAAAGTTTACTTGATGGAGACATGCTAATATATCTAATCCCCATGTAATTTTATTATTAGGGAAGATGCATATCGATTGAATCAAGAAAAAAAAATATCTTTCAGTCTTGCTTACCCCTTGCTCCCACCACCTACTTCTGTATGTATCAAGTAGAATGCTATAGAAGAAGGGAAGAGGGCTGGAAGCTAGGATAGCCACAGAAGGTGAAGCAATCCGTTCCTAACTCTGAAATTTGGCTACAGTTATTTGGTTTTGGACTTTTGACATCACAAAAAGGGCATTGCCCTGGGCCTACAACACAAACCCTGTTCTCTAGGAACTCCAGTCTGGTGGGGAGGAATACAGAAATGAAGCGGAAAGAGGTCCCAGATGCAGGAGGAGGCATCTTTATCAGGAAAGACTTCACAGGTGAAGTGACATCTTGGTGGAACTCAGCAGGCAGAAAAAGATGCAGGAGGAACCTGTATGCAAAGGCACAAGGCATCAGAAAACATGTGATAGGAGACTTGTAAGCTGCTTGGAGAGGCTGGAAATAAAGATGTGAGAAGAAAAATGAAGGAGAAGAAGCAGATAAATTTAAGGTTTCATTTGTGAAGTACTTACTATCTGTTCCACACCAAGAGTTTGATTGTTATCCTGGTCTTTGTGGCGAAATACTCGAATTGAGACTGATTAAAGAAAGCTGAGCACAGAAGAATTGATACTTTTGAACTTTGGGGTTAGAGAAGACTCTTGAGAGTCCCTTGGACTGCAAGGAGATCCAACCAATCCATCCTAAAGGAAATCAGTCCTGAATATTCATTGGAAGGACTGATGTTGAAGCTGAAACTCCAATACTTTGGCCACCTGATGTGAAGAACTGACTCATTTGAAAAGACCCTGATTCTGGGAAAGATTGAAGGTGGGAGGAGAAGGGGACAACAGAGGATGAGATGGTTGGATGGCATCACCAACTCAATGGACATGAGTTTGAGTAAGCTCTGGGAGTTGGTGATGGACAGGGAGGCCTGGCGTGCTGCAGTCCGTGGGGTCGCAAAGAGTCAGACACAACTGAGAGACTGAACTGAACTGAGGTGATTTAAGAGTTCAACATGTCAAGAGCATAAAACAGAGGGTAAGGAATTCCAGAAGAAGGGTCAGCATGAGGGGAACCCTGGGGAAAACGCTAGGGTACCCTACGTGTGACGGGAAGGCCGATCTTCTGGGATTCTGCTGAGCAGGGGAGAGGAGTGGGCACTGAGATTGGTACTGACCAGTTTATACTTTTGTCCTCTCCACTGTGCTTTCATCCCTTCAGTTTCACTTTACTTTCACCACTACCCTGCATGTATCATTGTTAGTAACTGTGTTTCAGAGGAACCGAAGCTGAGGCTCCCAGTGAGTTTTAAGAGTTTTTGTTGAGGCTCTTCATCCAGTGACTGGTGGGGCCATGATTAGGTCCCCAGCCATCAAGAACCATATTATTCTCCTCGATTGCTCCACAAACCAGATGTTCTGGTGATCCCGGGACACCTTGATTCTACAGTAAGGACCCTGAGGAACTGAATTAGTCATCAGAAGGTTCTTTGATGTGCACAACATCTGAGCAGAGGTAATCAGATAGTCTCCTGGGATATTTCATCCATGCTAGTAACATCTAATGAACTCTCCTTGCCCTGATGCAAACCCCTCCACTCTGGAGGGACCGGAATACTAGTGCTGAGAAGCCCTGACAGTTTCTTGCTATACAAACTTCCTTCATGTACATCCGCTGAAAGACATTGCCTGATGGTTGCTTCATCATTCCTTCAAAAAATTGGGTTACCAGATCATTGAGTTACTGCCTTCTTGGGCTATAAATATTCACTAGCTACTTGGACAGAACCTGGGTGTTTCCCAGGCCTCCTTGGAACTTTCTGTCCATCAGCTTCTGCTGGTAGCAGATCTCTTCCAGGGTGTGTTTGATTCATCCTGTATTCATGCTTGGAGGGAGGAACATCCTGACCTTATGGCAAATCTTGAAAAAAGATAAGCAGGCACCTGGACCATTATATAATCAATCATGCTACCAGTTAGGATGCTTACACAGGCCAGTAACAGAAGGCACAATTTAAACAAGGTCCTAGGCAAATATAGCGGCTCAGCAACATCATCATGGGCTTTCATCTTTTTCCTTTCACCATCCTCAGGGTGTGAGAGATGCTCTTTGTGTGGACTCAAGACAGCATCAACAGGGACTTCCCTGGTAGTCCAGTGATTAAGAATCCACTTTCTAGTGCAAGGGATGGGGGCTTGATCCCTGGTCGGGAAGTAAGATCCCGCATGCCTTGGGACAAGCTCCATGTACTGCAACTGCTAAGCCCGCATCCGCAAGGAAAGATCCACGTGCCAAAGCTAAGACCTGATGCAGCCAAATAAATAATAATGTTTTAACAAATAAGTAAAAATCAAGGCTCTGATATCAAGAAATAACTGAGTTGGAGGATGGCTTTTGGACTGGTAGATAGTCATTAGTGCTCTCCACCAGATATTTCTGGTTTTCCTCTTGGGTACAAGGTAGGGTAGTACTTCCCTATCTTCTACTTTTTGGATGTTGAGTAAGAGACCTTGTGACTTTGTCAGCCAATGAAATACCAGCAGTGGTGACATCCTTGACTTCCTTAAGAGGAAGTGTGAGATTTGCCACATTTCCTTTTCCCAGTCTCGGCAACTGTGGAAGCACAGAGATGGAACATCTATTAACCTGATTCTTAAATGACGTTGATGCAGATTAGAGTCCCTCCCCACCCCCAGCATCTACAGTAGACATTTAACAGGCACAAGGATTAAACCTTTGTTGTATTAAGACACAGAGATTTGAGGACCTCTTGTTACTGTAGCATTACCTAGACTTTCGTAACCACTCCAGTAGGAACAAGTGTCTGCCACACATATAATCAAATAAAAAAAAAAAAAACCTGTAAAATATTCAATATGCACACCAGTTACTAAATTTCTACTATGTAGCAGACACTGTACTAGGATTTACAAGGTAAATGTTAGGGTTTTATTATAATATGTGAGAAAATGGAGGTTTCTGTCTTGTTCAGGTTCAGAAAATAAGTAACTTGGGGAAGCTCGAAATGAATCCAGGTTCTTCTTAATTCCAGAGAGCTTGCTTTGCTCACCTATGACCTTGCCCTTGAGTAGTACTGCCACATGAATTTCTATCTCAGTGGAACCTCACAGCCTCCCTGCCATAGGCATTGCTATCACTGCATACTGTGAATGAGGAAACTGAGATTCAGAGAAGAAAACGAACTTGCAAGACTGCAGAACTGGGAACACACCAGAGACTCTGCCCTTTCCATAGCTCCTTGCTACCTTTCTGACCACATGAAGAATCAAGACGTTACTAGTTAAAAGAGAGATGTGGAGTTTTAGGACTTAGTGGCGACACAGGGATTTTGGAGTCAGGTGCCCAGGGGTTCAGCCTGGAAGCTCAAAGCTGGGAGGTGCAGACCAATTTCTTTAATGTTGCTAAGTCCTTCTTTTGTAAAAATGAGGTCAGCCATGGCTACGTCAGAAGGTTGCCGAAAGGTTCAGATACACGCTGGAAGGTTCAGATGCCCCGTATATAACAGGCAAGCAATAATTAGTCATTTTGCCACTGTAGATCTGTTAACTTAAGAAGAAATGATCAGGAATCCCACCTCCCTGCCCAAGCCAGTGCAGATGCATACACACACACACACACACACACACCCCACACACCACCATGACTGAAGCGAAAACATTTTCCATTAAGATTCAACGAGGTCTCCCAGGACCTGCTTCTTGGTCATATAAGGGCTGGCAGGTCCTCTCTGTGGGCTGGAGAAAAGTTGTTTCCCCAGCTGCACTCACAGGGGAATTCTCTGCAGGCACGGCGTTGGGAACCTGTTTGGCTTGGCTCAGAGGCCTGTCAGCACATTCAGGAAGTGAAGTCAGAAGAGGCAGGATTTCAAACAGCCAGCTGCACATGAATGCCCGAGCGGTGAAATACCGTATCCAAGCAGGGTGCCTCTCAGCCTGGGTTGCCCTGAGAGCTGTCAGAAAAGCCTCTGAGGATGGCTCTGGACCAGGAAAGGAAGAAGCGACTGGTGGCACACAGGGCAAAGCAGCCAGAAGGGCTGTGTGGGGTCATCTCAGCCAGCTCTTCTCTCTCAGCTTGCTGGGAGAAGAGTTAGCTTCATCCTCAGTCTCCACGTGATAGTGTCCAGCCGCTCCCACTCTCTGCCCATAGGAATAAGTGAGATGGAGGTAGCAGTTCCTCATGTTCTCCCAGGATGGTGTTTCATTGATCTGACTGGGCCTCATATCCATCCCTGAACCAATCAGACACAGGACATACTGTTAATAATACTGGGTTGCCTGAGATGTAGGTCAATTGCCCACCTCTAAAACCAAAGTATTGATGGGAGTTCCATCAAACCACATGGCTAGACAAGAGAATAAGGGAGAAGATTGTCAAAGGACAATCAGAACCTACAAAGGAGTAGGTGCTGGAGGTCAAACAGATTATTATTATCTGTTATTACTATTATCAAACCCATACCAGGATGAAGGGGCATCTACTTCACTTCCAAAATCAGGTTGGCACTCACAATCCACAGTTTTACCTCTTTTAATGAATTGGTGAGCCAAGATATAAATCAAGAACATGCTTCCTTGGATGGAAAATGCTCAGGAGGGATGTATTCAATGATATAAACACATAAAAATATTCTGTAAAAAAATTATTAATCTTAGTTGCAGTTATGATATTCACTGTAAAAGCTTGACATCGGCCAATTAAAGGAGAGAATTGAATATTCTCCAAGCAAGATTTTGAAACATCAAGAAGCCCTCCAAGTATGTCTACTTCTGGTCTGTGTTTTTCTCTACTTACCCTGCCCATTGAACTGTATCAGTATCAGTTTCTACACCAGGATTTGCACAATTCAATTGTTAAGGTAGTAGAAGTAGAAAAAAATCTGAGATCAATTATCATCATGACCAAACCCTGAAAAAAGGAGAATCCAATATAAAATGAAATGTACTTCTTCCTCCCTACAACAAATCAAAGATCTTTACTCCCAAGAACCAGAATGTGAGAAGGGTCTTTGAAAATCCTTAGAACTGACTATAAACATAAGTGAATGATAAATCCAGTGTTGCAAGTAGGAAATGCCGAGAAGTTGATGAGAATCGACTGTGTGGCTTAAGACCTTGCTGGGAGGTAATATAGTAACCAGTTCTTGACATAAATAGTCTTAAAATCTTTCCACCTGAGGATAGCATCATGAGACTTAATGATTGTCACTCTCTGAGAAGGTCACATGGCTCTATTTATTCACCCCGTGTTTATTGAATTCATTCATTTCCTCTGTCCAGGCACCTGCTAAGCACTGCAGGTGAGAAGTTATGTAAAACCTGGAACCTGATATCAAAGTCAGGTGGCTGCAATACATAATTGTCATGACAGAGGTAAATATAGGGTACTTCAGGAATAAGAACCCAACAGAAGGGAATTCAGCAATGGCTTCACTGAGGAGCTGATTTAGAATTGTATCTTAAAAGAGATGAGTAGGCATTTGACAGGAAAATGGGGAGATAGTGCTCCAGGGAGATGGGACATTGGGGACGAAGGTAAGTATCAACTATTCACAGACAAAATGGAGGGAGTTCCTGCCCATGTATTGTCAGGTAAAAAAAAGAGAGAGACACCAAACAAATTAGTAAAGATATTTTCACAATTACTTTATCCAGCCCAGACCTTTACAGAGTGCTGCAGAAAATGTGTACAGCAGTGTCTGCAGAGACTGGGAAGCCACAACCCAAGCTTTCACTGAGGGATGAGGAGGGGCTGGCCTCAGTCCAGGAAATCAGGGAGGCCTCCTGGAGGAAGTGACTTTTATTTAAACTGAGACCTGAAGGAATTAGTCAGGCACAAGGGGTGAGTGGGGAGAGCACTGCTGTCTTAGACTAGAGCATATGTCAGAAGTAACAAGAAGGAGCTCCCCTGGAGGCTCAGTGGTAAAGAATCCACCTGCCAATGCAGGAGACACAGGTTTGATCCCTGATCTGGGAAGATCCCACGTGCCTTGGAGCAACTAGGCCTGTGAGCCACAACTACTGAGCCTGTGCTCTGGAGCCTGGGAACCGCAACTACTGAAGCCCACGTGCCCTAGAGCCTGTGCCCTGCAACAAGAGCAAAACCCGGGCAGCAACGGAGACTCTCACAGCCAAAAATAAATAACTTTATTTTTCTTTATTTTAAAAAAGAAGTAACAAGAAGACCAATTTGTTTAAAATATACCGTTTGCTCGGGGGAGGGGATGAGTGGATGAGGTGATCATGGGGCAGGTTAATCCAGAAGGGGTGCAGTGAACATGGCATGTCCAAATATGTCACCCAAACTCCAAGTCTTAATCTGAAAGGCTAGATGACACTGAGAAAAGAGGACCCAGGTTCTTTCTTTTTTTTTATACCATTCAGTGTTATTAATTAACATATACTAACTTCACATAGTCTAAATAAAGCCTTTTACAATCCATTCTGTGATCCTTGATCAAAATACAGATTACAAGCATACAGATTGTCATTCCTCTGAAGTAATGATCTGAGAATTGTGATTTCTGTGGTTTACAAAACAGAGGTTAATCATCTAGTAAACATGAACATAAATTAATTATATGATTTTCCCAGGAAGGGTTTTTTATACTTTTCTAGGGTGTTGGTGAATATGTCTTTATTTCAATCAAGTCAACTAATATTCATGACTTCTCTCTGTTGATATTATAAAGATACGTCAGGAGTTTAGTGAACTGTCATTGTTTTATCCTTAGAAAGCAAGTGATGTAACTATTTAGAATTTAGAACAAACCTTTGCCCAGTCTTTGTCTGAAAGTCACACTCTTCATTCTCAGGGAAGAAACTCCAATTTCTGGCTATGAGAGACTGATCATAACATTAGATGTTTATGAAGCTCTTGTGAGGTGCTGAGGCCCATGGTAAATGCCTTCTGTATTACCTTGTTTCAACCTCACAATAGCCCTATCAGGTAACTATAGCAAGCTTGTTCCCAGGTGAGGAAACTGAGTGGCTGCAGAAAATGGCCAAGGCCCCGGGACTGTAAGAGGCAGGAGCAGGATTTGGCTCTAAACTTGAGCCCCTGATCCCTCCATCAAACCGCCTCTAAAGAAAACCAAAAGCATTAGAAATATTGTAAAATTCCAACAGCTCAGCAATATCACCCTCCCCTCCCTGCATGGTACTTTGACAGAAAGTCAGTTTACAATGATATTCCTTTTCCTTAATGTGGAAGGTGAAGGGGAAACTCCAGGGACCCTTTTATTTTCTTTCCCATTCGTATCTGGGCTTTATGCCCCTGCTGTTTTGAATTCCATTTCAAATGAAAAAATAACTAAAAACCACACTCAGCCAAGCTATTTGGATTTAAAACAGACCGGCAGAAACCTGGAAGGAGTCAGGATTCTCCCTAATATATCAAATGTAGCAGCCAGCGCCAATCTGAGAGGCTCTGCTCCATTCTGTAAAGAGAACAGGACGCATTTTGAAAATGGATGAGTTGAGTTCACTGTTGTGACTTGTCTGAAGGCCTGGAGGCCAGGTCTGGTTTTGATCTGACAGGCCTGGGTCTCCAAACAAGGGTTATTCCTTTGCAAAGACTCTGAGAGTCGGCACGTTTGCCAGGTACAGACCTGGAACAGTGTCCCTTTGAAGACTTCCCGGGTGGATCTTAAATGGGATTTGGTGCCCATTGTGGAATCACAGTAATGAGCTGAAAAACAGTGTTTTTCATTACGCTGGCAAATCAGTTAGCTCCTCTGTTTGCTCAGGTGTGTGGCTGTGTGCCCCATGCCCTGATCTCTATATAGTAAGAAAATAAATATTTTAAAAGGGAGAAACGATTGAAGATGAAAGAATGTCACAACTGGTGGGGTGGGAAAAGTGAGAGAGAGAGGAGACTCTAGTCTCTTTAAAGTAAAGTAATGTATTTGACATCACTACAGCCATGAAATTAAAAGATGCTCGCTCCTTGGAAGAAAAGGTATGACGAAGCTAGACAGCATATTAAAAAGCAGAGATATCACTTTGCAACAAAGGTTCATCTAGTCAAAGCTATGGTTTGACTAGACTACTAGGTCCAGTACTAGGTCATGGATGTGACAGTTGGACCCTAAAGAAGGCTGAGTGCTGAAGAATTGATACTGTCAAACCGTGGTGCTGCAGAAGACTCTTTAGAGTTCCTTGGACTGCAAGGAGATCAAACCAGTCAATTCTAAAGGAAATCAACCCTGAATATTCATTGGCAAGACTGATACTGAAGCTGAAACTCCAATAGTTTGGTCACCTAATGTGAACAACCAGCTTATTAGAAAAGACCATGATGTTGGGAAAGATTGAGGGCAGGAGGAGAAGGGGGTGACAGAGGATGAGAAGGTTGGATGGCATCACCGACTCAAGGGACTGAGTTTGAGCAAACTCCGGGAGACAGTGAAGGACAGGGAAGTCTGGCTTGCTGCCTCCATGGAGTCGCAAAGAGTTGGACACGACTGAGCAAATTCAGACTTAAATTGAAGAAAGTAGGGTAAACCACTAGACCATTCAGGTATGATCTAAATCAAATCCCCTATGATTATACAGTGGAAGTGAGAGATAGATTTAAGGGACTAGATCTGATAGACAGAGTGCCTAATGAACTATGGATGGAGGTTCATGACATTGTACAGGAGACAGGGATTAAGATCATCGCCATGGAAAAGAAATGCAAAAAAAGCAAAATGGCTGTCTGAGGAGGCCTTACAAATAGCTGTGAAAAAAGAGAAGTGAAAAGCAAAGGAGAAAAGGAAAGATATTCCCATTTGAATGCAGAGTTCCAAAGAACAGTAAGGAGAGATAAGAAAGCCTTCCTCAGTGATCAATGCAAAGAAATAGAGGAAAACAATAGAATGGGGAAAACTAGAGATCTCTTCAAGAAAATTAGAGATACCAAGGGAACATTTCATGCAAAGATGGGC